TTCGAGGGTACGGTAGGCTGTTTCAGCTTCTCTTTGCCCTATTCTTTTAGATTCTTAGGACTAAGCTCTTATTTTTAACGCATAGCAGTTTGACCATGCTCCTCCTGAAGCCAACTACGTTTTCGCCCAAGAAATGATCGCCGTTCTCACTTCCCTACTTGCTACAAGGGGTTGGCACTAAAACAACTCTTGGTAGGCCGACCACGCCGCTTCATCTTGTTTTGGACCGTCATTATCAATAAGTTGGTGTTTCAATCATACAGCGTCCATGTGATACGCCTAATTGGACATATTTCCGCTATATGGCGATCACACCAGATGCAGGCGCCACGCCTAACGCCCTTCTCGAATAACGAATTGCTCCATTTCAGGCTGATGATGTGGTGGTCCAGTTAGATGTTTTGGCTTCCATCTGGATGTCCAGGTCATCGTCATTATTGAAAACGCGAATTGGGCGTTAGGACTGTTGAGGTAACGAACGACGCCCTATGTTGATGACAGAGATTAGTTTTTACCAGCAGCTTTGAGCTTAGTACTTGCGGTTTTATTCATTATCGTTAACTGAACAAAATTCCTTGACATCCAGGAGATTTGTTAAATTTCGCTTGCGAGGGAATGGAGTCCGGCCGACGATTCGGCTCATTGCAACTGACACGAGTCTCGAGTAATGAACTACGTTATTTCCATATAAAGATGGGGTGTGGTCTATCTGGGTGTTTTGACTTCTATGGGGGTCGTCAAGAAGGTTTAGAGACTCACTTATGAAGAAATAGGCTCAAGCAGACAACTGATCTGGTTGATCGCGCTAAATCATAACAGGATCTGCCGTTGTTATTCTCTCAATGCCGTTATGGTACAGTATACCTGGTCACTGCTGTGCCACGTGCAAACATTCTCGTTTAGGCCTGCTTTTACAATTGTGACACCATTAAGTAACTAACGGCTGAGAGCTGGCTGCAACAATGATAGAAAGCAGCTTTGTCATATCTGTCCGTTCATAGCCGACTTGACTAAGCGTCTCCTGATTGGCATTTCCGCGATAGATCTAGATTCTCTCAGATGACTAGACCACAAAATGAAAGGCCGACTTGTACTCAAGGACACAGGACGTGATCCACTGA